GTCCCCACACATTCCCTGGTGGTTTGACTGCATGGCCTCAGCCGCCCCTGCAAGCATGCCGGCCGCCAGATGCTCCTTCTCATCCTGGTCCTCCTCCCATCCCTGGCCCTGGCCCTCCTCCCATCCCTGGCCCTGGCCCTGCCCCTGGCCCTGGCCCTGCCCCTGCCCCTGCCCCTGCCCCTGCCCCTGTCCCTGTCCCTGCCCCCACCCCTGCCCCCGTCCCTGCCCCGTCCCTGCCCCGTCCCTGCCCTTGCCCCCTGTCCCTGCCCCTGCCCCTGCTCCTGCCCCTGTCCCTGCCCTGCCCCTGCCCCTGCCCCTGCTCCTGCCCCTGTCCCTGTGCCTGCCCCTGTCCCTGTCCCTGTCCCTGCCCCTGCCCCTGTCCCTGTTCCTGCCCCTGTCCCTGCCCCCGTCCCTGCCCCTGCCCCTGTCCCTGCCCCTGCCCCTGCCCCCTGCCCCTGCCCCTCCATGCCAGTCAGTCTCATCCCAGCTGGCCAGTCCCTGGTCCAGGCTCCCTCGCCAGGTCCTGCTCTCACTCTCTGCTCTGGGTGGGGGGCGGGCCTCAGAGGCACCCTGGCTGTCTGCTGTCCCTACACTCGGGCCCCTGGCATAGCGGCCGCCCACCGAGAGCTCATCTAAAACTGTGTGTGAACACAGACTTTAAAGCTATATAACTCCTAACTCCAGTTACATCATCCAACAGGTACGTTGGTGTGCCTCTGCCGGGAGCCACCGGAGTAGCCACATGGGCAGGCAGGCGGCCACGGGCACTCTGTGGCTCCGGGGACACAGCGGGCACCACGCTGCACCTCTGGCCGCCCTGCGAGGCACCATGCTGCCGGGCCACTCCCTATGGGGGCACGGCCTCTGGCACTGGTGGGCTGTGCCAGCAGGGACAGCGGGCACTGTCCGGGGCTATCACCGTGGGGTGAACGTCTCTGATGCCCTTCATGCCTCCTCAGGACTGGCTCCCTCGGTGCCCACCCCGGGCCCGCTCCTGGTCTCCGACCTGCTTCCTACAGCAGAGGCCACGGTGATGGGCGGCCCCGCCCTCCTGTAGGCACCGCTCAGCCTCAGCATGGGCTACGCTGCCGGCCGGCAGGCTTCCTCCGCGCCCCCTCCCCGCCCGCAGCCTGGCCGCCGGGATCCTCACAGCCCCGGTGCCGCCTTCTCCTGGCCCCAGAGTCTGTGCTCACCCTCCGCCGCCCTGCGCCTGCACCTCGGGGCGCCCTCCCGGCGGGAGCCCCGTCCAAAGGCTCAGCGAGAGAAGACAGGCAGCTGCCAGGGGCGAGGCCTCGGCTGTGGGGTGAGCTCGGGCTCTGCAGCCGCCCAGGGCCCGGGCACAGTGCGCTTCGTGACAGGAACATGTTGTGGGACGTGAGTAACGCCTGCGGTGCCCGGCCGCCCAGGATGCCCTGCTCCCTCTTCCCCGCGGGTCTCCCACGGGGCAGGCCCGTGATGCCTGACCCCTCGGCCGGCTCCCCCAGGGACAGCGGGCAGGAGGGAAGCCTTGCTCACCGCGCTGTCAGCCCCTGGAACATTCCTGCGCCCGGCAGGTGGACAGACTTAAAGCCACCTGAAAGCCAGTTTCAAAATAAGGGGAACAGAGTCCATTTTGTTTTCAAAGGCTCTATGTGCACACACGTGATCGTACACACACGAGGGAGAGAGGCGAGAGCTTGGCCAGTCCAGTGCTGACCTCTCCACTGGGCCCTCCCCTCCGCCCCCCAGCCTCCTCCCATGGCCCCCTCCCTGCCCTCTGCTCTCCTGATGGCACACCTCCACAGGCCAGCCTCCTGGCAGTGCCCACCTCGCCGCCCCTCCCTCCGTGGCTCCTCTCCTCTCGCTCACACCCATTTTACCCAAGACCATTCTGAAAGCCACCGAGACCTGGACACACACAGGCACCACCCTCCTGCGTCCACCCTCCTGGGCACAAATGCATCCGGGGCCTGGCCCTGCGGACGGAGAGCTGCCTTCCCACGCAGTGAGACCCTCACGCTCCCCCGCGTGGCTGCTTCCCCTCCCCGTCCCCGTCCCCGTCCTATCCGTCCCGCTCCTCGCCCTCGGCGTCTTCCGTGGGTTCTCGCTAAGCGGGCAGCAGGCGTGCGTCACCGTGGGCTCTGAGCCGCTCCTGCTCCTGCGGAAGGCGGCGCCCTCTCCCTGGAGCCGCGGTCAGGCATTGAGGCAGCGGTCCACAGGGGCCTGGTGTTCTGTGCTGCTGTCTGAATACACGGATTGTGTGTGTGTGGCTGACGCTGTCACAGAGCTCAGGCCACGGCGCTGCCTCCTGCCCCGCGGAGCCAGGCTGCCCTGGGCTGTGTGCGCCCTTCCCACAGCACAGCCCCAGGCACACAGCCAACGCCGGCCGAAGATCCAGAGGGACGGAGCACGTGGGACATCCTGTGCGGTGGGAGCCGAGAGTGTCCATCCTCAGCCTCAGCTGGGGAGGGGCGTGTGGGGACCAGGTTCTCTCTCTGGCCCACAGAGCACACAGGGCACACCGCTAGTCACAGGGTTCACAGACACCCCAGGGAGAAGGTGAATGTGGATACGGTTTTCACAGACAATGCGGGTCAACTGGAAACTGTCTGCTCTCCCGC